ATATTTTTCCATTCACCACTTTGTCCTCATCTACTGACCACTCCTCTATTCCCGACCATGCAGATTTTTCCCTAACCAATACCTCTGCACCGACACCTAACTCACCAGCTCAGCCCTCACCCCATCACATCCCTCTTGTACTATCCAACCCATCCCAGCCGGCTGTTCAGCCTTCCCAGGCAGATTGCCACAACCAGCCCGCACAACCAACCTCCCCAGACACATTTCCTAGTGCGTCGACCACTCCTCCCTCCACTCCGTCTCCCACTGCCTCCCATAGCCCGTCACCCCTCGTTTCTCCCAGTCCGTCTCCACACCTGGCTGTGAGAAACGGGCCAAAACCATTTTCAATTTAAATACAATTGTGTTATCAGCAGATCCTACTTGTTTTACTGAGGCTAATAAACAGTCAAAATGGTGTCAGGCAATGACTGAGGAATTTAATGTTCTTATTTCTAATAATACTTGGGAGTTAGTGTCGTTTGATAATTCTAAGAATATTGTGGGCTCTAAGTGGATTTATAAAACTAAATACAATTCCGATGGGTCTATTGAGCTTCATAAAGCCCGTTTGGTTGCCCATGGATTTAATCAGCAGGCTGGTGTGGATTTTTCTGAGACTTTCAGTCCAGTCATTAAACCCACTACTGTTCGTGTTGTTCTTACTTTGGCTATTTCTTTTGGGTGGGTCATACGTCAGTTAGATGTTAAAAATGCTTTTCTTCATGGCACTCTTACTGAGGAAGTCTATATGCGTCAGCCGCAGGGTTTCGTACATCCTTTGTTTCCTAATCATATTTGTCGTCTGCGAAAAGCCATTTATGGACTTAAGCAAGCCCCGCGTGCATGGTTTCATCATTTCAGTAGTTTTTTGTTAACTCATAATTTCACGTGTAGCAAGTCTGATAATTCCTTGTTTATTTTTCGCCAGCATACTTCTGTCATTTATTTACTGCTCTATGTAGATGACATTATTATCACTGGTAATTCTTCGTCTGTTATCACTTCGTTTATCAGTCTTATTGCTCAACATTTTGCTATGAAAGATCTTATTGATCTTCATTATTTTTTAGGAGTCCGGGCTTTACGTTCTGTCAAAAGTTTATTTCTGTCTCAACATAAATATGTTTCTGATCTTCTTCATCGTTTCCACTTACATACGCTTAAGGCAGTTCGTACCCCTCTTGCTACTCGCACATCTTTTTCTCTCACTGATGGGGAGCTTCTTGCAGATGCCACTGAGTACCGTAGTATGGTTGGTGCGTTACAATATTTAACTTTGACAAGGCCTGATATTATCTATGTTGTTCATTTAGTGTCTCAATTTATGCATGCTCCTCGTACTACTCACCTCTTTGCAGTCAAGAGAATTTTCAGGTATTTACAGGGGGCACTTGATCATGGGTTATGGCTTCGCCCAACCACGCGAGCTACTTGCGTTGTTGCATACTCCGATGCTGACTGGGCAGGTTGTCCTGACACTTCCCGTTCCACAACAGGCTTCGCGGTATTTTTGGGACCTAATCTTGTATCGTGGAAATCAAAGAAACAGCCCGCCGTTTCTAAGTCCTCTACTGAAGCTGAATATAGAGCTGTTGCCTACACAGTCCAAGACACTCTGCATATCCGATCAGTTTTATATGAGCTTGGGTTTCCAGTCACAGCTCCTGTTCAGCTATTTTGTGACAACATCTCCGCTTCCTTCTTGACTGCTAATCCTGTTCAGCATGCTCGCAGCAAGCATATTCAGATTCACTATCATTTTGTTAGAGAATGCGTGGCTCATGGAGATCTGAATGTCAAGTACATTCCCACACAGTTACAGTTGGCTGACATTTTTATCTCCAGTCAGCAGTTTCATTTTTTGAAAGACAACCTACGCGTTGTTTCTCCCGCATAGTTTGAGGGGGTGTAATAGAATATATTTTAGGATATTTGTTTCCCAAAATATATTTAGACATATTTATTTCCTTTTGTAATCAAAACTCTTCTACTATTAATACACATGCCAGGACTTCTATTGGAGTACCTTTTCCCATAATTCTCACACTTAATACCTGGATTGCTGTAAAATTGGGGGTGAAAAACTTAGATTAGACTATTCAAATGCTAGGTTGGGGCAACCTTACAAATTGTGACACAACTTTTAAGAAAAAGTGTAATTATGTGATTGATATTGAATTGATAAAGTGTGAATAAAGTAAGAATGATTTGTAACCACCCAAATGTTACCAAATATGGTATGAGACAAACGTAATGGGACAGACGAAAAAGGTAAAACGAGACAAAATTAGAAAGACAAAGGGAGTATATATTCAGAATTGTTTTCATAATAATAAAATTTAGGGAAAATTGTCAGATAGACCTCGAACTTACAAAAAATGTCAATTAAGGCCTTATATAGGAGGTTCTGTCCGGCCGACGCCATTTGGGCCGGTTCCCAGTGAAATTTTTCAATGAAACTTTTTGAGCATCTTATTCATTAATTTTTCAACCGCCCAAATGACGTCAGTTGAACTGAACTTCCTATATAAAAGGTTATTTGACATTTATTTTATAAATTCGAGGCTCTATCTAACCATTCTCTCTAAAATTTAATTTGTACAATAACATGTACAATCACATCTGGTAGAACATGTAAGAGTGACACAGACCATACTAGCTAGTCTACTTCAACAACCAGAATGGCTCACCCTACCAAACTTGCTTTTCCAAAAAATAAAACACGCAACATAAAATAATTCAACTAGTAAATTTATGTATTATTTGATCGGATATTGTCAGATTGAATCATTGAAATAAGTCTTAGCTTACACAATAAAATCTAAATCCTAATTACTTTTCTAGAAAAAAATAAGAATTTTCATAGACAGTTGGGTCGCTAAATGTAAACATAAGTGGGAATTAAAAAAAATGGAGGTAGCTATAGCATACTAATATACTATATGACGTGGGAAAACCGATCGATTTAAATCACATTCCTTGCTTTAAAGCAATAATAATAATGCAGACTTCGTCCAGCCTTCAATTATTTCAAGATTTATTCTATTGGTAAAGGGTGTTAGAGAATTGATTCACCTTTTTTTAAAATCAAAAATAGGATTGAGAATAGGTTTTTGAGAAACTAGTCTTCTCTGTCTTTTAATAAATTGCTTCTAAAAGCAATTTGAAGCACTCAAAAGATCAGAAGTACTTCTGTAGTTTCCCACAAACACTCTAAATTTGGAGCATCCAGGAAGTCATAAATTGTCTCTGCTCCTTCAAGGAGCAAGAAACAATTTAAGATGTAGATCCATACGCTCCCTAAATTTTTTTCTAGATATGATCAGATGATTATGCTATGAGCGTGTGACAAGGCACCACATCTCAATCTAAAACAGTATCTCTACCACTATCATAAATTATACTCCGTACTACTACGTCCGTTCCTATTATAAATTCCAATCAGGTTTGACACACAATTTAAGATAGTGGGTATTGTGTGGTGGAGAGTTGTGCAGAGAAGAAAGAAATGTGTAAGAAATGTTGTGAACCACAAATTATTTACCAAAGAGGGAAAGTGGAAGTTTTAATTGGAATGGACGAAAAAGAAAAGTTGAAAGTTATAATAGGAACGGAGGGAGTATAATACTACCTCCGTCCCATAAAATTCTTCCCACTTTGACTTGGCACGGAGATTAAGAAAATGGAATAATGTGCAAATGTATGGTTATGGTTGTGGTTGTGTAAGAAAAAGGTGAAATGAATGTGAACCACACAAATTGTCCAAAAATGATAAGTGAGAAGAATTTTTTGCAACAGCCCAAAAAAGAAAATGCGAAGAATTTTATGAGACGGAGAGAGTAATTTCTTTCGGAACTTGAGGATAAGCAAAAATCAATAAGTTAAAAGCAATTTCTAAATTTTACGTACATATATATGAACATTGAGAACTTAGTGGATTGTTTGAGCGATTCAACTTTACCTTTCTAAAAAATTAGGAAGGATTTTGGGAGTCCAAGATTAATCCAGCCAAATTGAGTTCCCGTTAACAAAAAAGATCATAATAATTTATAGCATACTTCCTTGTTCCATTAAAACTTTACCAAACTTTCTTATTTAGTTGTCTACAAAGAAGTGTCATTTTTGTTAAAGTTACTCCCTATTATTTATTCTTTTGTGTAAATTTTAATCACATAATTTTTACTTTATTACTAAGTATTTTACAAAGTTTTTGCTACTTTCACTCCTCAAACTATTGTGTCAGACTGTTAGTGACACTTTAGATAGTCGACAATTTTTCCATTTTTGATCTTTCGACTATTATGCGAGAGACACCATTTGTAGTCCATGACTTCAAGGTTTTCTATATTTAGTTTCCTGAATATGATCTAATAGACAATTTTAGTCCTTCCACTATGATTTTGCCACAAAAAATGAAGGACTTAAAATGTCACTATTATAACGTTGAAGGATAAAAGGTGAAAGTTCTATGAAAGTCAGGTGACCAAAAATGAAAGTTTTTGAAGACAGATACTCGCATAATAGTTAAAAAACTTAAAGTTGAATATTAAAAGTGTGCTGTGAGATAATAATAAGAGAATTAAAAGTAACCATACTAACCCATTATTAAACAGAGAATATTATATTTTGAAGAAGATTAATGAGGAGTGGAAGTTGACGACTCTCCCTTTGCCGTTGCACATGCCTGTCATTTTCTCAAACAACTATCATCATACATTATAAACTAAAGGCAACTTAGAAATATTTTTATTTAAATTGTTGTGCTTTGGAAAGTTTCTAAGGTGTACGTGGGGCCATATTAGCACCTAACAAGTGGTTTAGTTTGAGATTAGACTTTCTAAATGATAGCAGCACTTGAGAAAAGTACTCATCAATGTATTGATTAAGAAAAAAATACATGTCATTAAGCTATGTTAGTACGTTATGCATATGTGATACATTATGAAGGAGTTGATATAAATATTTGAAAAATTATGATGATACTTGTTAGGTTAATGGCCCAACGGGGGTTAGCCCATGAAACCCTCAAGGGCAGCCCTACGAACATCTGTAGAAGGCATGAGACAACGAGTTACCTTTCCGCTTACTCCGACGAGGTTCGTCCCCAACGGGGTCAGGCTTCAGGGGACGTACGTACCGTGGCATAGACGGGTGCCTTGGAATAGGGGCAGCGCCCGACGCTCATCTGCAGGACTTCGGACCCAGCAGAAAGCAAGAAGCACGCTCTAGGGGACGAATGTCCCCACCCTTGGCAGGAAGCCAAGGTCCCAACAGGGAACAATAGGCAAGCTCATGGGGACGAACGTCCCCACCCCTTGGCGGGAAGCCAAGGTCCCATCAGGGAACAAGAGGCAAGCTCGTGTGGATAAACGTCCCCACCCCTTGGCGGGAGGCCAAGGTCCCAGCAGGGAACAAGAGGCAAGTTCATGGGGAAGAACGTCCCCACCCCTTGTCGGGAAGCCAAGATCCTGACGGAAAACACATTTAATGTAGAAGATTCTGGCGGGAAGCGCATTTAATGCAGAGATTTGGTGGTTGAGATCCCAGTCATCCATAGCTCGCCGCGTCAGTTTATCCAACTACCCATTAGTGGTATAAATGGTAGCATTTATTTCATTGTAAAGGGTTAGCAACTTAGCACTAGCATTCTAGCAATTCTTAGCAGCTCATAGCATAACAGTGGGACGAACGACCTCACGCCTTGTAACCCCAGAATTATATTGGAACTTCTTATTGGGCCTTTCTTACTTGTTTCTTCATTCTGTCATCTTATTCTTTCATTCGAAATCCTTGGATCGTGTATTGGGCCTACGGGTTGACGGAATAAGAAATAATGGCATGAGTATTACCTATACACTTCTAACAGACTAAAATATGACTATTTTTAAACATTCCAAAAATATGACCTGACCACAGTCCCTTGCGTCTCCCTCAACGATAATTCCCTTACGACTACCAACGCCACTTCTCTCTCCATGAATCTCTCTGCGCCTTATCTCTTCTCACGACCGTCCTTCACATCGTTCTTCTTCTTCTCCGACAAACCTCTCCATCCGCGGCGGTGGCATATTCATTACAAAAACGACTATGGCGTCTCGATCCTTGGAGACGACAGTCCTACTCACCTAACTCTTCTTCTTCTCCTTTCTACGTCGATTTGGCCTCTGCATCTTCGATTGCTTTGATTGCAACAGAGATATGATAGATTAGAGTTCCACATTTACTGTCGATGGCTAAGGTTGCGCTGGAGGTGAGTTAGGGGATGGAAAGCGGCGGAAGATGGTGATAGCGTGGTGATTCGATGCGACAGTTGCAAGGCTGGTGCGTGGTGTGGTTTTGGGCCGCGATTGTGCGGGCGCTGGGGGTCGGGGAAGGGCTCACTAGTGTAGAAAACACTTTTTATATGGGTTAAAAAACACTTTTTATATGGCTACTATGTCGGTTCCCGTAACGACATAGTAGCCAGCGACATAGAAAGTCAGGCTCTTTTCGTGTCGTGTAGTCGCACCCCTTATAGAATGTTTTTTTATAATGGTTACGAATTTAATCGTTATTGAATGTTTTCGATGTCAGTCGAGTAATACCCCATATAAAATCCTTTTTATAAACCACCAACCGTTATAGAAAGTCGATTTTATTTTAAAATAATCACATTTACTGTCACTTATATATATATATATGTGTGTGTGTGTGTGTGTGATTTTTTATTTTAAAATGTAATGTTTTTATTTAGATTTGCTACATAATAAAATTTCTAATTCATACTAAAAATATATATTGTCTAGAAATTAATGAGTAATATGTAAGCAATCCCTATCCCAATTCTTTACATTTATTAATTCAAAACAAAAAGAACAATTGACTCATTTGCATAGCCTAAGTAAATGACATAGAATCGCACAACACAAACAAGCATTTAGTACAATAACTACTTTATTTTGGGGCAATTATTTGAGTGGGGTCCACTTCCGATTTGGGTCGGGTCAAAGTGGTTTCGGATTGTCCTTGTTAAGGGTTACAATTCGATATGTGGTACAATCAAAACAGATAACGGGTGAATGAGAAATTGATTCTCGAAGTTCACTCGTTGAAATGGAAAAACTAGGAAAATGATGGGTTTCTAGTGTATTTTATCCCACACCGGAAAACTCAAAGGATTTTCACCCCCTTATAAAGGGAAGCCTCTTCTAAGGTGAGGGTATTCTGATCGCGCACCAAAACTGCTCCAAGCAGTTACAGCCATTAAATGCCCAACGTTCTTGTCTTTTAATGCAGCGTTAAATGGACAGTTTATGGATGATTCAATGCCCAACGGACTGGTCATTGATGTTAACGTTCAGGTCCATTAACACCCCATTTAACACACAACAAATCCTCCAATAAAAGGCTGGCAGGTGGTTTGCAACAAGACACAACGCACAATACATTCCTCACGTTTTCTTGAGTTAAAAACACTTCCAGCTACTCCGAAATTTCCTAAGTGTTCTACTATTGTTCCAGTTCGCCGGAACTTTAGTTTGTGTGCTCAAACGATCGTTCGTTAGCCACCGTATCCTGGGAAACGGTCGTTGCAACGCTCCTAGCACCGTGGGAGGCGACGAATACGTTTTAAAGACATCGTGCGTAGCACGAGCTCTGGCTAAAATCTGCTCCATCTTATTTCTATTCTTCTTTAGCTATTTTATTAATTAATTAATTATTTTTATTGATTAATACTTATTCGGTTTTCCGAAACACACCCAACAATCTTAAAACGTATTCGGTGATTGTTCTACTCCGGTAAACAATCTTAAAACGTATTCGGTGATTGTTCTACTCCGGTAAATAATCTTAAAACGTATTTTCCTTGGTTGTTATACTGCGGTAAACAATCTAAAAACGTAGTTTGTCACTTCGGTGAACGAACTTATTTTTTTTGTTTTCGGAAAACGTTGAAAATGTTAAAATGGCTTCACAAGAAATTGGAAATGTTGGTGGGCAGAACGTGTCAAACGATAATCACTCTGAAAGTGGAGCACTGGTGAATAATGGTTCACAACGCGGTGCATCTACTTTGGGCAACCAAGGGGCAATCCCTATGGTTACCGTGCCGAGCAACTCTGTGGAGAATCCCGAAAAATTTAACGGGTTAAACTTCAAGAGGTGGCAGCAAAAGATGCTATTTTACCTCACTACTCTCGGTCTTGCTAGGTTCTTGACCGAAGATGCGCCGGTAGCAACCGGGGGTGAGGTGGATGCGCAATCTTTCAACGCGGTTGAAGCTTGGAAGCATTCCGACTTCCTTTGCCAAAACTACGTGTTGAACGGGCTGCATGATGCTTTGTACGACGTGTATAGCAAATTAGCTACGACTAAGGAGCTATGGAATGCTTTGGACCACAAATATAAAAGCGAGGATGCCGGTGCAAAGAAATTTGTTGTCGGCCGATTCCTTGATTTTAAAATGGTGGATTCAAAGACGGTCTTGAGTCAAGTTGAGGAAATGAAAATGATCTTCAATGAAATTCGTGATGAAGGAATGACAGTTAGTGAGTCTTTCCAAGTGGCATCAATTATCCATTTATTACCGCCGGCTTGGAAGGATTTCAAGAACTACCTTAAGCATAAGAGAAAGGAAATGAACTTGGAGCAATTGATCCTCCGTCTGCGGATTGAAGAGGATAACCGGAAGAACGATAGGAAACTCTCAATCGTTAACGGCGCCAAGACCAACGTGGTGGAGCATGCAAAAGGCTCCAAAAATAAAAATAATGGGAAGAGCAAACTCGGTCCCAAGGGAGGCGTTTCCAAGACGAAGTTCAATGGAAAATGCTTCAATTGCAACAAGAACGGACACAAGTCCGCGGATTGCAAGGCACCAAAGAGGAAGAAAGATTCTCACGTGAACTTGGTGCAAGGTGGGCAAAAGGATGAAGACATCATCCTTCCGGCTGTGGTGACCAAGGTCAACCTCGTTGGATCCAATTCCAAGGAGTGGTTCGTGGACACCGGTGCAACCCGGCATATTTTCTCAAACCGGTAGTTATTCACTACTTTTGAGCCATCAAATGGTGAAAAGGTGTGGATGGGAATCTCAGCCCATTCCGCGGTTGAAGGCGTGGGCAAAGTGGTCCTGAAGATGACTTCGGGCAAGGAGCTGACTCTAAACCAAGTTTTGTTCGTTCAGGAAATACTCAAAAACCTGATTTCCGGTTCGTTGTTGAACAAACATGGCTTTCGCATGGTTTTTGAGTCGGACAAACTAGTTTTGTCTAAACCGTATCTCTTGTCTAGCACTGTGGGAGGCGACGAATACGTTTTAAGGACATCGTGCGTAGCACGAGCTCTGGCTAAAATCTGCTCCATCTTATTTTCTGTTTTCTTTTAGCTATTTTATTTATTAATCAATTTTATTTAATTAATATTTCTACGTTTTTCCGAAACACACCCAACATTAATTCATAGTGACGTTTGTGATTTTAAATCAATACAAACACGTGGCGGTAATAAATATTTTATTACTTTTATCGATGATAGCACTCGCTATAGCTACGTTTATTTATTAAAAAATAAACACGAAGCAATCGATAAATTCATTCTTTATAAGAATGAAGTAGAAAACCAACTTAATTGGTGGATAAAAACGGTTAGAAGTGATCGAGGTGGTGAGTATGAAACATCAATTGGTGACTTTTGCGCTAGCGTGGGTATAGTACAATAACGTACCGCACCCTATTCACCTCAATCAAACGGTGTTGCCGAACGAAAGAATCGCACATTGAAAGATATGATGAATGCGATGCTAGTAAATTCGGGCCTGTCACAAAATATGTGGGGCGAAGCAGTCTTGTCAAGCAATTACCTTTTAAATAAGGTTCTTCGGAAAAAATATGATAAAACTCCCTACGAGTTGTGGAAAGGCAGACGGTCTTCCTATCAATATTTAAAAGTGTAGGGGTGTCTTGCAAAGGTGCTTGTACCAACACCTAAGAAAATAAAAATAGGTCAAAAAACGGTGGATTGTATTTTTATTGGATATGCACAAAATAGTAGTGCCTATCGGTTTTTAGTGTACGATTCGAATAATCCGGATGTACATAAATACATGATTATTGAATCAAGGAATGCTTCATTCTTTGAACATGTATTTCCATGCAAGTCCAACGAAGGACCAAGCACGTCAAAACGAACATTTGACGTAGCTATGGAAAATACTAGCGAGGGGTCCGGAGAAGAAGCCAGACGTAGCAAACGTGCTAGAATTGAAAAATCCTTCGGACCGGATTTTCTCACCTACCTGGTAGAAGTTGACTCGGATATTCTAATATGTATGGTAGAAAATGAACCGGATTTTCTAACATGTTTGGTAGAAAATGAACCACGGACTTATACGGAAGCCGTGACGTCTACCGAAGGTCCTATGTGGAAAGAAGCCATCAAAAGTGAGGTGGATTCTATCCTTAAAAATCGCACATGGGAATTGGTTGATCTTCCTCCGGGAAATCAACCTTTGGGATCCAAGTGGATTTTTAAACGGAAAATGAAACCTGACGGTTCCATCGATAAGTACAAGGCCAGACTTGTAATCAAGGGATACAAGCAACGTGAGGGCCATGATTACTTTGACACGTATTCTCCTGTGACGAGAATAAATTCCATTTGGATGATACTAGCAATTACCGCATTGTGGAAATTGAAAGTTCATCAAATGGACGTAAAAACTGCTTTTCTAAATGGCGATATAGATGAAGAA